AATCCTTGTATTAATTTCAGAACTAAAAACAAGTGTGAAGGAGACAGAATGTATTGGACCTTTTTGAATATTCACTATGCTTTATATACTCTAATATAAATTACTTTCATTTCATATTAAATATTATAAGGCAGTTCTTTTATGAATATTGTTTTAAATAATTCTCGGGTGCCTGTATCCAAAAAGAAATCAGAAAAAATCTCTAAACATGACTGTATGACTCTAAAAATATCAGTAATTTTATTTTGCTGCTCTCAAAAGCAGTTTCCTGAGGTGGAAAACTGCTCTAAAGAGACCACAGAAGGCTAGACATGGTGACTCACGCCTGTAATCCCAGCACTTTGGGAGGCTGAAGTGGGCGGATCACGAGGTTAGGAGTTCGAGATCAGCCTGACCAACATGGAGAAACTGCGTCTCTACTAAAAATACAAAATAGCAGGCGTGGTGGCACATGCCTGTAATCCCAGCTACTTGTGAGCCTGAGGCAGGAGAATCGCTTGAACCCAGGAGCGGAGGTTGCGGTAAGCTGAGATCATGCCGTTACACTCCAGCCTGAACAATAAGAACAAAACTCTGTTAAAAAAAAAAAAAAAAAAAAGTGAGCACAGAGTCAAGTATTTGTCTGATAATCATTCCTTGGAAATGTTTTACAACTTTGTAAAATACTTAAAACACGTAAAATGCCATTTTAATTACAATCAGAATTATTTGAAGGAAGTTTATAGCAAGACAGGTGGCAGATAAAAAATATCTTGGTGGACATATGCTATTCTTGATTCCTTACACACACTTTCATTGCTTTACAAAGATAAAATGCATATGATGATAGAGTATAAATTTCAAGAATCTAAGGCAAGCAAGTCGGCACACTTAATCTCAGGCTTGTGTAAACTGGAATATCTATGTTCAATTCCTGACTATCTTTCTCACTATCTTAAGTGTTTATCTATTTGTAGCTTATCCTCCTTAATTTATATTTCAGATTATGCAGTGGTCTCATATATGCAATAATTTTAATCTAAATCAAAAGCAATGTAATACTTGAAATACAATTATTATATTTTTACCTAATAACTTATTTTGAAAGATTAGCAACTAATTTGGAGAGATTTGTTTTACTTGACACCTTACAAGTGGCTTCTGTGGTACAAACTTAGGTGTTATGAAGGAGTTCTTCACTATGGACTTCTTAAATTATTACCTATTAATAATGATTTTGACTTACTAGCTTTTTCGTATTTAAGCTATATATTTAGTAGTTACATGAGAACTAATATGCTTGTAAACCCATTCACATTTCTTCCGTGAAAAATATTGTGTTAGTTCAGTCCATTTGAGTTGCTATAAGGAATGCCTGGGACTGCATTAATTTATAAAGAAAAGAAATGTATTTGTCTCACAGTTGTACAGGCTGCATAAGACATATGATGTCAGCATCTGCTCCTGGTAAGGCCTCAGGAAGCTCCCAATCATGGTGAAAGGCAAAGTGGGATCCTGTGTATCACAAGGCAAGAGAGACAGCAAGAGTGAGTCGTGAGATGTCAGGCCCTTTAAAAACCAACTCTCATATGAACTCATTACTGCAGGGAAGGCAAAAAGGCACATGAGGAGCCACCTGCCATGATCCAAACACCTCCCACCAGGACCCGCTTCAACACTGGGGATCACAGTTCAACAGGAGATTTGGAGAGGACAAAACATCCAAACTATATCCTGTATTTAGGAAATTTTGCTTTTGATATTGCTTTCATAATAATGTCCCTTTAAAAAAAACATTTTAACATGTGAAACAGCTAAAAGTAATGACTATTGCCTTTGCTAATGCCAGGTTAAGCAGATGACAACATTTGAAAAAAAAAAGTTTATAACAGATAATAAGGAAATAGTGACAATAATTAAGTATGTGTTCAGAAGTCAGGCTTTTCATTAAGTCTGGATGGAAAGCAATAGCATTTGAAAACATTTTCCACTTTGGCTATATATATCTATAGGCAAAGATATATATATATGTGTGTGTGTATATATATATATATATGTATATGTGTATATATCTTTATATATATATATATATATATATATATATATGTATATGTACCTTATAGTAAATCCTACATTTCAGTATAAATCACTGCATTCCTAGAATAAGTAAATATATATTACTTTATACAAAAGACATTCTTAAAAGTCATTTATAAATCAGATTTTATGCTCTTTGAGTATCAAGCCATATTTCTCATTGACTGACACTGTAGTTTTAGAGATGTGTTCTCAAAGAAAGAAAAAAAAATTGGTTCCTGAGCCTCAAATATCATATCAGAATGCAGCAAACTTCTTTCTAACTTAAATTTAAAAATAAATGAATATTTTTAAAATAAATTATTTCTATTAACACTTGAGTGAAAAACTATGCCTACAGTTATCTAATATGGTATTAGACAACTCGAAGACTAATTCTAAAATGTGAAGAAAACAGTGTTGTCTTATATAAAATATATATTTTTTATAAAATTTTCTAAGAACCTTTTAATAGTGTTTATCTTTCTATTTCTTTGTGGCTCTATTTGTTCACCTGCCAGGTCTTTTCTAAACATGGCTATTACAGATGATAAAGCTGTCAAAAAATGCAACATGAAATTCTAGTATTTTTAAGAAACAAGAGAAGCTTGTAATATTGGCATAAACAATTCAACTAACTGTAAGAATTTAATATGACAGCCCTTCCTACTATCCATTGTTTGAGAAAAAAGAGGTGTATTTTGCCCCAATTTAAGACACAAATATACCTTTTGAATTTGTCTGTGGTTTTCTTTAAGTAGGGAAAAATAGCACTATTCTGAAAAAGTGGCAGTGTTAAATTTTTTTCTTAATAATTATTATTGTATTGTCTCTGCCTCAAGAGACCAATATTTAGTTTAAAATAAATTTACTGGCATTAGGGCAATGATTTATAGACATAGACAGAAATAGGACTATGTTCACAAGATTATTCTGAATGAGTTAACATTAAATATCATACTTTTTTATTACAGTGTTTTTCTGAGCTTTATGTTTTCTTATTTCAGAAAATAGCTTATTTGGATAAAAGTAAGACCACTTTCAATACTGTAGAAGAACTCACTCAAATTTCCTTAGACACAGTTAAATATTCTGAAGATACTCTCATCATGGTGTTTCATTTGAAATGGTTATTTCTGTTATTTTTTTGAGAAAATTCTTTGAGAAATCAAGGATGATTTTTCGGAGTATTTGATACAATTTGGAATCTGTTTGCTTTGATTGTTTTTAAAATTTATTTTTTTGAGTAACTAAACTTTCCATAACTGACTACATGAACATTTTTTGGGCCTTTGTTATCCTAGAAGTGGACAGAATATGGATGAGCATAACACTAAATGTAGGTAACTTATAACAGATGTTTACATATGACCTGGAAAACTAAAGCTTTATCTTGCTGCATTTCTATCTGCAATGAAAGGTCTATCAAATCTTGTTTCATACTTTTGAAAGCACTGAAGCATCTTATTGCATAGATAATTTTACTATCTTCATGATCCATATACCATATGCATCTTTTAAATGAACGTTTATAGTAGTGATTCTTAAAGCTGTATCTCATAGATCCAGGTCATTAGTAGCTTAGGAGGGACCAAGTTAAACATATTTATTACATGGGAGTCTAGTAGATGTGGTGATGCATAACTAGGAGAATTGTGGACAAAGTGATTTGTCACCGTATTGCCTCTTCAAAGGTAGACACGTTGTCCCAGCATTAGGGAGTGCTTTCTGCAGACATTATTTAGCTCTCAGCAACACCACTCCCCCCGCCATTCCCTTTCTCAGAAATTTCAACTAGCATCAGACAGCTGCCTTTCTCAAAGTTACCCTTCCCCAAATCCTACAAGCAGTGACTGATACATCGAGGACAGCGTTTTAAGACCTGGCTATCTTTGCTCTATTATGAATAATATAAGATTGTTTTATCTCCAGAGCATCCCTTGTGGAGAAGGCTCTGTGCAGATGACTCAAAAAATTACATTTTTTGTTCAAACTTCTGAGTGTGGAATCTGTGAATAGCAATAGCAATAATAAGTGGCATTAAACTAACTGTATTTTATTAGATGCTTGACATCATCTTTTGGATGTCCCGATAACATTCCAATTAGCTTGTTAAAAGCCAAACTCATAATTCTGTTCTTTTAAACCAAGGTTTTTGTTTGGTTTGGTTTTATATTTATTCATTTTTATTTGTTTATATTCCTCAATTTTGTATTTTGGTAAAAATACACATAACATAGAGTTTACCATGTCAACCATATTTAAGTATACAGTTCTTTAGCATTAATTACATTAATATTATTGTTCAGTGATCATTATTGTCCATCTCCAGAACTCCTACAATCTGGAAAAACTGCAAAGTTTTCCTTCTCTTAGCTCCAAGCAACCATTATTCCACTTTCTCTTTTGAGGATTTGGGCTACACTAAATACCTCATAAAGGTAGAATCATACAGTATTTGACTTTCTATGACTGGCTTATTTTACTTGGTATAACACCCTCAAAGTTCACGCATGTGGTAGTATATATTAGAATTTCCTTCCTTCTTAAGGCTCAATAATATTCTATTGTATGTAAAAAACACATTTTGTTTATCCATTCTGCTGTTGATAGACTCTTGAACTGCTTCTAAATTTTAGCTATTATTAGTAAGGCTGTTAACAACGTGGGCATAAAAATACATATTTAAGAAAATGCTTTCAATTTTTTGGATGCACACCTAGAAGTGGAATTGTAGATTCATATGGTAATTTCATGTTGAATTTTTTGAGGATTTACCATATGATTTTTCACAGCAGTTTTACCATTTTATATTTATTCCTACTAACAGTGCGCAAGGGTTTTATGTTCTCTACATTCTTGCCAAATTGTTATTTTCTGATTTATTTTGATAGCCACCATCCTAAATGGGTGTGAGATGGTATCTCATTGTAGATTTTTTTTCATGTCTGATGGGTAATGTGCCAACATTGTAACAAGGTTCGAGGGTGGCACATGTCACACCTGTGTGTGAACATCCAGTCATCACACTTATAAACTACAAAAGAATCTCATTGCATTTTTTATTGGCATTTTCCTAATGATTAGTGATTTGAGCATATTTCCATGTACTTATTGGCCATTTGTATATCTTCTTTGGGTAAATGTCTATTAAAGTATTTTGACCGTTTTTGAATCAGGTTGCTTGTTTCTTGTTATTGAGCTTTAGGAGTGCTCTGTATATTCTGAATATTAATCCTTTACTAGATAATAATTTGCAAATATCTTCTTCCATTATGTAAATTGCCTTTTACTCTAGTGCTAATTTTCTTTTGATGCATGCATTTTTCTTTTTTAAAAAATCTTTTATGATTTTATGAAGCCTGTTTGCCTCTTTTTAATTTTGTTGTCTGAACATCAGGTGTCTTATTAAAAAATTATTGCCAAATCTTAAGTGTTAAAACTTATATCTTTCTTGTAAGTGTTCACAGTTTTAGGTCTTCCATTTAGGTCATGGATCCATTTTGACTAAAGTTTTGTATATGGTGTTATGTAAGGTTCCAACTTTATTATTTTGCATATAGATATTTCATTTTCCCTGCAACATTTATTGAACATACTGCCCCTTCCCCATTGAATAGCCTTGACACCCTAATTGAAAATCACTTGACCGTATATGTGAGGGTTTACTTCTAGGCAGTCTTTCCCATTACGCTGGACATTGTTTTGATTACTGTAGATTTACAGTAATTTTGGAAATCAGGAGTCTTACTGTTCTAGCTTGTTCTTTTCCAGGATCAATTTAGCTATTTGGAGTCCCTTGAGATTCCATATGAATTTTAGGATGAGTTTTTTGTGTTTTGCTTTAAGACATCATTGGGATTTTGATTGCATTAAGTCTATAGATTTGCACTGAATCTGTGATATTATTATAACGTTAAGTTTTCCCATCATGAATATGTGAAGCCTTTCCATTTATTTTTATATTCTTTAATTTCTTTTGGAATGTTTTGTAGCTTTTATTGGGCAGGTCTTTTATTTTCTTGGTCAAGAAAGTAAGTAGTTTATCTTTTTAATGCTATTGCAAATAAAATTATTTTACTAATTTTGTTTTTGGATTATTCTTTGTGATTGTATAGACATGCACTTGATATTTATGTGATGACTTAATTTATTGGTTCAGCTTTTTTAGTGGAATCTTTAGCATTTTTATAAATAAGATTATATTATCAGTAAACAAAGATAATTTGACTTCTTCCTTTATAATTTTTATGGCATTTTTCTTCCTTGCTTGTTTTTTTCTGGCCAGACCTTTCAGCACTATATTACATAGCAGTAAATTCAGGCATCTTTGACTTGTTGCTTATCATAGAGGGAAAGCTCTCAGTGTTTCACGATTGACTGTGATGTTTTATATGGGACTTTTACATATGGATTTTTTTAGGTTAAGTTGGCTTCCTTCTATTTCACTTTGTTGAGTGCTTTTTAGTTTTTTAATCATGAAAGGGTGTAAAATTTTTCCAAATGCTATTTATCAATTGAAATAACCATGTGATTCTTACTCTTCATTCTGTTAATTTGGTATGAACAATTTTTATATGTTGAAATAACTTTGTTTTCCATTAGTATTAATAAATCTCTTTTGCTCATGGCCTGCAATCATTTTAATCTGCTGCTTATTAACTTGGTTTCTAATAATTTTTTGAGGATTTTTGCATCAATGTTTATAAGGTATATTCCTATGGTATTAGAGTAATGCTGTTTTATAGAATGAGTTTTGGAACTGTTCCCTCATGACAAAAGTTTTGAAAAAGTTTGAAAAAAAAAATATGCTAGTTCTTTAAATGTTTTATGGAATACACTAGTGATGCCATCAGGTCCAGGGCTTTTGGTGTCAGGAGATATTTTATTACTGATTCAAGTTCCTTACTAGTTATCAGTCTATTCACATTTTTTAATTTTATCATAATTTAGTTTTGGTAAGTTTTGTATCTCTAGGAATTTTTTCATTTCATATATTATCAGATTTCTTGGCATACAATTTTCATAGGAACTCTCTTACAGTTCATTTTATTTCTATAAAATTGATAGCAAAGTCACCATTTTCATTTCTCATTTTAGCAATTTGAGACTTCTCTCTTTTTCTCTTTGTCCATCTAGCTAAAAGTTGATCTTTTCAAACAACCAGCTTTTGGTTACATTGTTTTTCTATCATTTATTTTGTCTACCTCTGCTCTAGTCTTTATCATTTCCTTTCTTCTGCTTGTCTTCAATTAGCCTGTTTTTCTAGTTTCTTAACTTGTAAAGTGGTTGACTTGAGATCTTTTTTTTAAATTAAAAGAAAATATTTCTTGCTTTTTAATGTAAGCATTTACAGCTATACATTTTTCTCTTAGCACTATTTTTCTATGCCTCATAAATTTTGGCATATTATGTTTTAGTTTTCATTTATCACTAAATATTTCTATATTTCCCGTTATTTCTTGTTGATCTATTGATAATTTAAAAATATATGTTTAATTTACACAAATTTTTAAAATTTTCTGCTTTTCCTTTTGTTACTAATTTCTAACTTAATTTTGTTGTAGTTGGAGAAGATACTTCGTATGATATCTTTTAAATCTATTGAGATGTAATTTGTGGCCTAACATATAATCTGTGCTGGAAAATGTTCCATGTGCACTTAAGAAGAATACATATTGTGTTATGTGGTTCAATATTCTGTAAATATCACTTACATTTTGTTGGTTTATTGTGTTTTTTAAGTCCTCTATTGTTATTTATTTTTTTACTTATCTTTTTTCTGATTGTTTTATTCATTATTGAGGGTATATTTTGAAATCTCTGATTATTATTGTAGAACTATTTATTTTTCATTCAATTATATCAAATATTCCTACATGTATTCTAATAATCTATTATTATATACATGTTGATATTTATTATATCTTCTTGGAATATCAAACCTGTTATTAATATATAATGTTCTCCTTTGTCTCTTACAACCTTTTAACAGTTATTTAAAGTCTATTTTGTCTGGTATTAGTGTAACCGCCCCTGCAATCTTATTGTTACCATTTATACAGAGTATCTTTTTCCATCCTTTCACTTTCAACCTGTTTGTGTGTTCATATGTAGAGTAAGTCTCTTTTAGACAGTATATAGTTGGATCATGGCCATAAGGCATGCTGCCAGTATCAGTATTTGTTTGACGGGGTTTAGCCATTTAAAATTAAAGTAATTGTTGATAAGAAGATAACTGTAACTGTCATTTTGTTATTTGTTTTCTAGATGCCCTATAGCTTTTTTATCCATTTCTTCTGACTTTTTTAGTATTGAATTTACATTTTGTAGTGAAAAATTTAAATTTTCACATTTAAATTCCTTTCACAGGTTTTTATGTATATTCTATAGTTATTTTCTTTGTGGTTACCATGAATATTACAGTTAACACTCTAAAATTATAATACTCTAACTAGAATGTATACCAGCTAAAGTTCAATAATATACAAAACTCACTTCCTATGTAAGTTTTCATTCACAATTCTTTCAGTTATTAATGTCACAAAATTATATCTGCATATATTGTGCATTCAAAAACAAAAACGTAAAGTCATAATTTTTAGTACCTTAGTGTCCTCCATTATGTAGAAAACAAAATGTAGAGATACAAACCAAAGTTATAATAATAGGAACTTTAGACTAATAATTGTTTAATGTATTAGTCTCTTAAAGTCTGTAGAAAATGTAAAGTGGAATTACAGACCAATGTTGCAATAATATTAGCTTTTAAAATTGTCCATTCATTTGCCTTTACTGAGATATATACTTTTCATATAGCTTTGAGTCACTGTCTAATGTCCTTTTATTCTAAGCTGCAGAATTCCCTTGAGCATTTATGGCTATATAGGTTTGGGTCTAGTGTTAATGTACTACCTTAGTTTGTATATGAAAATATTTTATATATTCTCTGGGGTTATGGAATTTTCATTCAGTTGTAATTTTTAGTTTGTGAATTTTTTTGCTCCTTTTTAACCTATCCCTATTGATGTTTCCATTTTGTTCATCCATCGTTTCCTTGACTTTCTCTATGTCTTCCTTTAGTTTTTTGAACATCATTACAGTGGTTATTTTAAAGTATTTATCTAATAGATCTACCATCAGGTCTTTCTTAGTGACTTTATTTTGCTTTATCTGTTTTCTTTAAATAAGCCATACTTTCTTGTTCTTGTGTGTGCCTTGTGATTATTTGTTGAAAACTGGACACTTGAATTAATTAAATGGTAAATCTTGAAATCAAATTTTCTCCTTTCCCTAGGGTTTGCTGTTTTTGTTATTATTTTATGTTGTTGCAGGCTGCCTCTGTGCTGAGGATCAGCCAGAGGTGAAACTTAATGTCTTTTATTAGTATTTTATGAACCTGTACCATTTCTTGGTGGTATGCTGAAACTTTCTAATTTCCTTTATGTACACAGTTGCTTTGGAAATATACTATTCTTCATTGGTTGATTCTCAAAGGGGTAAAAGAAAAATGTAGGGGGACAAAAAACCTTTCAAATCCCCTGGAAGTCATGTTAGCCAGAAAGAGTGGGCTTTAGAACAGGAGAGGGTGCAACAACAAAGACTACCATCTCTTTGCCTCTACCATCATGATCAGAAGTAGCAATCAACCATCAGAGCACAGATCCTTGATAATTGAACGGATGTGGTCCTTTTTGCTCATGGTAGTTTCTGCAAGCTGCAAGCAAGCCACAGCAGGAATATGTGTGCAGCCTCTTGTCTTGGAGTTGGGGTTGGGGTTGGGAATGGATAGCTGCTGCTGATCTAACAGCTGAAATTAACTAAAATTTATTATCCACATTTTCTCCTGGAAGTTGTAAGCCTTCATTAAATTCAAAAATTCCAAAATAGTTGTATCAGAGCGATTTTGCCAGTATAATTATTACTTAAGTGTAAAGAGATTTCCAGTGTTTGCTTTTCCATCATCTTTCCAGAATTCTCTAAAGCAGGCTCTTTCACATTGTTTCCATGAATGATATTACTGTCCCTCCAGTATGTAAACCAGAAATT